TAGCTTTGAGCATAAACGGTGGCTTGGATCCATGCTGCGTCAATGACGACAGCCATGAGGAAGTCGACATGCTGTTCTGTGTTGCTCTTACTCGAGGCGCCGCGGAATCTATTTGTACAACAGTTCCCCTATGAGGACCCGAAGCAGTACCACGGTTCTCATGCGGCCCCTCATCTAAACGATCGTCCATGGATGCGAAGATTGCGGTACGACGATCACGTCCACACCATGCGTATCTGTCCTCTCTGCTCTATCACTGACTATCAGCAATGCATATTGCTGCAATTCAAAAGATTGCAGGTCGATGATGGACGATGCGATGCGATGCAATACAGTATTCGTGGCGTGTGTGTTGGTGTTCATGCAACGGCTCTCTTCGTGGCGTGATCCCAGCCTCGTTTTTGCCGCGGCCTTGACTAGCGTATTGCCTGCATGGCACCCCCCACCTCGAGACCTCTTCTCTATAAGCAGGACTCCAACTGTCTCGTTGCCCATATGGTGTCACTCAATTGCACTACCGACTGGCATTTACTTTTCCATGAACGAGTAACGTCCGGCCATGTGTGGAACATCGTGGCAGCCACGGGAGAGCCGTATCGCGCCACGTGCCTCAGCTGTGCGGAAAATACATCATGCCCATGGAGAACGGACTGCATGGTCATTTGCTCAGGACCAATCTACGACTGATTGCGATGCTTTTGCTGGTAGAGTGCCGACTCGTCTTGGAGCGCGTGTGAGCAGCCACGATGAACTGACCAGACTAGTCAGCGATGCAAGCGCATGTTCATCGTATTGCCAGCTGGCACGTAGCGTATCTGTTGCGATGTGCGATACAAAACCTGCGTCTTTTGTCTTCATACTGGAAGATATGTGCTGGAAGAGCTTGAACCCCGTTAGAATGCTGGGGTGGACGTACCGCGACATTTCGGTCTCAGCCTCGCCAAGTGGGCATCTCTTCCCATTATATATCGATTTCCCGCACTCGGCTCTGTCGGCATCATAATACTTACGATGTAATCCATGACATCACCGTTAGTCTGTTTCTTTGCTTCTTTCTGATCTCCTATCTGTATTGCCATCATAAGTCGCCGAACCTTTCCACCAACAGTCTTGCTTATTCCATCGGCACATCTTGGAAGCATGTACTTTGGCCTTGCCTTTGTGAATATCTACCTGTGTTCTGTGAACTTCAAGTAGGGGTGGTAACCAGACAGAATGCATTCACGGTGACTAAAAGAATGCATTGCTCCAAAAGCTGGTCACCTCTCGGGTTGGCTGGTCAAGCACTCCTATTCTTTGCTTAGCTGTCTCATACACATCGGACGTTTCCAGAAAGAAACATGGAAAGCGGCGCTCTGAAGTCGGGCGGTTTCACGTGGTAACTACCGACTTCACTTTCTACCGGTTCCATCTGTACCTGGCATTACCACCCGATCTCATGTACGCTCGAGGATCAAATGCCCATCCCCGTCAACGAAGTACGAAAACGAATGACTGGTAGGACTACATTGTCGTAAGAACTTGCAGACTTGCGTTTTGATAATAACGTCGACTTCAGCGCGTATGTTCAGTTTACGCTCATACGAAATGCGTCTCCATGAAGGCCGGCCGAATTTGGTTACCCTGCTGATGGACCCAGCTTCTATCCATCTTAACAAGCCATGCGATAGCTCTGCTACTCTACTTCACACCTCTTTCTTTGGGGCCCCTCGTGGGAAGGGGCCTTACCACCGTTATCTCATTGGCATTATGGGGGTTGTGAGTGACTCGTCGTTTACGGGTCGTCGCAGTACCGTGGTTATTCACTTGAAACTCCACTATTACGTCATATTGTGGCAGCCTGGACCTGAACTCGCTTCTCCTGTCTGAGAAAAGAAGGACATTAACGCACAGACACAGATGACCCTTGCTCACGCAGAGCCGCAGCAAACTGTCGCATACAGCAACTCGTCCACTAAACCCTGAAGCTCAACACCCACGGCTCCTCCAAGATGGTACGATTCAACCCTGCCACGCCTGTTATAAGCACATGCGCACACCCCGTACCGACCACTCTTGCTTCCAGGCTCCCCTTACCGCAGCTCTGCCCATCATGCATGATAATTTCACAAGCCCGAGACATCGAGGCTGTACAGCAACAGTTTGACATGCGCGGTGGTCTTTTCCAGTCCAAAGAAGGCGGGAAAGGCGACCATGCGAGCCCTGGCCACAAGGCCGTCAGAAGGAACTGGCGCAGGGCAAAAATTGCACTGACCAATACTGTGGAATTGTTCGAAGACTTACTCAACGACACAAGTGTGCCAGCCCAGGACCTGACCAAGCTGAGGGAAGCGCTCAATATTTGGAACTACAAGAAGGTCTTGCTGGGTAGAGTGCCGGGTCTAAGATACGTTGACGGTGCAGAAGAGGGAGAGCCGACCGAGTTGGAGAAGGAGGGCGCGCGTTTGTTGATGAAATGGTTGAGGATGGTGATCGAGAAAGAGATGGAAGAAGAGTGGAGATACGAGGTGACATCTGTATCCGCAACAGGATTGAACGAACCGCAGCAGGTGCTCACGATGCCGGAGTCAACTGAATTGGATCCGTTAGTGGAAGCTTTGCGCAGTCAGCCACCGGAGTCTCAGTGGATTTCAGCACCAGAACAGGAACCGAAAGAAAGTTTAGACGCACATCCCGCAGCCACAGCAATAACTGCGAGCCCGCTGGCATCCGAGCATAACTCCGCGGTCCCAAAATCGATCCTCAAGCGCCTACGCACTAGCACCATTCCAGGCAGCCAATCCGCCTCACCATCGCCTAAACGGGTCCGCACAACAGATTCGGTGACTATATCACCCGAGCATCATTACATCGTCAATCCCTCGCCCTTCCAGCCGCTCTGTCGCACTGCAGTTGTGTTGCCCCACGCCGAACATACACTTGCCGAAAACCATCGCCCGCGACCTAAGTTCCATCGCACAACTCCAGCCTACACACCCGGCGTATGGGCATCGGATGCTTTCAGCGAGAAGGTGAATACTAGCTTCCTTACCATGTCGCGCGAGGATATGGAGAAGCACTACGATGATGAGTCAGCAGAACAAGAGCAGGAGCAGGTGTTGGCGGATAAGCTGAAGGAGACGAGTAGAGGCTGGGTAGCGCTTTGGTGGGCGAACAAGGTTGCTCCGCACTTGGATCTGGAGAAGCTGAAGATGGAAATGCTAGCACGAAGTGGGGAGACGGAAGTGAGGTAGACCACCGTACTTGGCTGTGGTGTGCGAGGGTGTGCGAGGGTGTGCGAAGCTCAGGGTCGTGATTGCCGCTACGAAACTAAGGATTCGACCTTTAGGAAAACACTAGGCTTTGAGACTACTTGGGTCGGGGTGAACATTCTGGGAACTGTTTGAGACGCTTGTATACCCCTAGACATGATGAGTACGGGCGCGCGGTATTGACCGGTTTCTGGGGATCCGGTGCGCCTTCCAAGTTCTGCTTTCTTTTCGTTTAGGTGACCTGGGGAGCGAAACCGCCTAGCATTCGTTTCACATGCGAAAGCTCATAAAGCTGCCGAAGGATCGCTGGTGATGGAAGCGACATTTGATTCCAAGCATGAGCGAGGGAGCGCCATAGCGCCGTGTTGGACGCAAAGCTGGGGCGAGGAGATGGGGCAACGCGTCGTCGCGTCAGGCGTTCCTGCCGTAGCGCGAACACCCCAGTCGGGAAGATCTCCGCAGCTACGTCACAATGGCTTTTCTAGAAACCTTAAATGTAAACACTCCCTCTCCGTAGCACATGCATCTCTATTGTAGCGGAGGCCACGAAACGAATCAACATCAATATGCCTGCTACACAACCCAGCGCGAATACAGGTGAGTTGATAGACGCCTCCAGCTAGCTTATTGTGACGCTCTAACCGATTCCACTAGCGCAGGAACGGAGCCGAGAGGAGAACAGCGAAGTGGAACTGGGAACAGAATCGGAAGCTGAGAGCTCAGGCGCAGAGGACACCGACGAAGAAGACCCCGAAGCGATGCTCGAAGAAGTGAAAGCAGATCAAGCTAAAGAAGAAGAAAAAGTCAAGGCCGCCGCCGAAAAGCTTGGGGACACAGAGCGCAAAGTAGGTGACATACGCGGAAAGTGGCATCTCTACTCCGCGCAATGGGTGGAAGAATATGCAAGCAAGGAGGGCCAAGACCTCGAAGATAACGACTGGACCGACGGTGTCGGAAGCATCGAGTTTGGAAAGCACCTTATCGTCGAAGATTTCGGTCCCTACGCTGGTGATATGGGCATGCAACTCGAGATCTGGGGTGGGCCTGTAGACGCCCATGCGACCACGTTCAACAAACCGAAATATACATCCACGCTTCCCGAAAGCGTCCAGCTCTTCGATGAGGGTGAAGAAGACCAGATCTACGTCGAACTCAGGTTTCTCGGAGATGGCTACTTGGAGTTGCACATGGATGGTATCTACTTTGCTGGGATTCTGGTCCAAGATCGGAAGGCTGTGAAGCGCGCAGCCGAGGAATTCGATGACGAGTGGCGGAATTGCAAGTATACCAGGCATACGCACCCGTCGAATATGCTGGCGGCGTTTGGAATGCCCGTTGACTTGGAAGACTCTGATTCTGGGAGCTTTGACGAGAGCGACGATGAGGACGATGACGAAGATGGAGAATGAGAAAGCATGCGATCTCCGAATCTGTATACACTTCAACCTTGCCATCTACGACTTTGTAATATATCCTTCTGGTTTTGCAGTGCGAGGATCTCTGATAGTGAATTCGACGTGTGATGACGACGTGGCGTCGGGCCGAACCCAATGCACTACTCTTGGTAGACCAAAAACAATGCAACGCGTCTCGGCGCGACCCTCAACCCGGCCTTGAGCATCACAGATTATCTCTCTCCACCAACGAATCTACTTCTTCCATCTGCGCATAGACCTGCATAGGCGAAGAATCGAACCGTAATCCGCTCCCTGGCGTGTCAAAACCAGAAGAGCTTTGTTCCGTCTCGGCATGGCGACGCAGCATAATCACGACGATCCGAGAGGGTTTGGCATGCATAGTGGTAAGATGCCACGACTCTTGTTGAAATGAAAGCTTACACACTCTAAAAGAGACGCCGGTTGTAACGAACGAAGAAGAGTGCGAAGATGAAGAAACAGAAACGGACGAGGAAGAGGAATACTACGTAAATCATCAAGAAGTTGCTGCCGAACACAAGACCGAAGCAACCCGTTTCGAGGATCAAGCACAAGCTCTCAAGAAAAGACTACAAAATGGCGAGAGGATACCTCTGGGAGACATCAGCGGCAACTATACGCTTTACTCGTCTCAACATTTGGACATATATGCTCAGAATCCAGACCAGTGGTGGGAAAAGAGAAATAACATCGAAGACTGGGAAGCCGGAAGCCTGAAAATCGGTAGGCAGTACTTAGAGCCACTGTTGCCTAAAGGTGATAAAGAAATTGGAGTCAAGCTCGATCTCATGGACGAACCGGAAGACGGGTTTTGGATGGACATCAGGAGCCCTCCGCAGTTCGCGTCACAAGACCCAGCCGGAACGTTTGCCTATGGCACTGTGGATGAGGCTGCCTTTGATTGTCAACTCATGTTCTTGGGTGAGGGTGTGTTGGAGCTCTGCTTTCCAGGCAACAAATTGAGGTGCAGAGGATTGCCTGGCTATGTGCGTTACGTTGGTGTCTGGGGTGCGATGGACGACTCGGATGACGATTTTGATTATGATTCGGAACCTTTTGGATACTGAGCAAGAATGATGATAAGCCGGGGACTTGTTGCTGTGCTATTGGTAACTGCAAGAGCGAATAAGACCTTGCCGAAACATATGGTTACCAGCATAGCGAAGTCGCGAATAGAATGCCTCAACGATGAACCTTCAATGATGTAAATTCATTAGCAACAAAGATCTTCTCATCGCGACGTATCCAAATCATTATCCCGCCCCCATTTTCAACGGCATCCCAGCGCCTATCTCAGCGGCCTTCCGTCTGTGACCTCTCCGTACGTCGGATCGTCATACTCTCCAAAGCAAGCGAAGTCGTAATCCGCAAGCTCAATCTGCTTTTGCTGGACCTTCAGGAATGTCTCCATCTCGCACCATCCGTCGTCTCTATCACCACATTCCTTGTGACTACGACCCAGTGGAATAGTCCTCTGGTTGAGAATGAAATGAACGTAGCTCGTCGGCGGCCCGTCAAGATATATCTTTTCGTCCGTCCGGTTAGGGTTGACGGGCGCAGGTGCTTTGATGACTTCGATGTCGAGACGACCAGCGAACGGCTGGAGATGCGAGAGGATGAATTCGCGGGGCGTCTTGATGTGGGTTGTGGGAAGTACCTCGCTGAACTGCGTGATGCCGAATGCGACGAGAATACTGATGATGCCGGCGTCGTGGCTAAAGTCCAGGTTCAGGTTCTGATCGATGGGAAAGGTGACCGTGTTATTGTCAAGAGTTATGTTGATTTGGGCAGAAGGGGAGGTGATAACGTGGTGCTGCATGCGGGCGAGGACTTCCTCCACGTAGCCTGTGCAGTATTAGTATAGTGAGGTAGAAGAGGCATCGTCAATTCTTACCAATTCCAATAGCGCGGCCGACTGAAGAGCCAAATCCTGTGCCTGCCTGGAATGAAAGATCCAGGGCGTACTCGTAGCCTTCCCACTCTTGGTAGGTAAACAGGCCGCACCAGTGAGAGAAGCCAAGCGAAATTGTCTCGTACGAACACAAAGCTTGAGCGTTGTACGTATCGGTGATTGTCCAGTCAAGGTCACCGGTGATGTTGCTTCTGAACCTCTGATGAGCATCATGAAGGTACACGCCGATCCATTCCATGAGCCCTTGTCGCGCCGTCGGCCAACTCGAATGGTTGCACTGCTTGTAGCCAGCAAGCGTATTGTTGAAGCCAGGCGCCTCAATTGCCAGCTCAAGCGTCGCATTTTGCGCCCAGCCTAGACCGAAGAAGCCAGCAAGGAAGTACTCCGCCGACTCGGTCATGCGTCGTTGGGTCGTACTCCGGACGATAACCTTGCTTCCATTGTTGGGATATAAATGGCCATACTGGTAGTAGTGCAGAGTACCAGAAGTAAATAGCTCTTGCTTGCCATTGGGAACGAGGATCTCAGCACCCAGTAGGAACTGCCAATCGTTGAGGAACGAAAGGGGTCCGTGACCTGTGAACTTGCCAGCCGCGTCCGTGAGCTTCTTCCCTAAAGTCCGCTCTGCAGCTTCACCACTGACTTCGGGGTACCGACTTCCATGGCGATGGACCATGTTGAGCCATGTTACGTTGGTGCCAGGCGGTATAGAGTACTCGTTTACTCCGAAGCCTCGGGGATTAGGAAAGTAAGGGCTGATGTTTGCCATACTTTGAAATATGTTCTTGTTTTCCGCATTGCCAGCAATGGGGATCTGTGTTTCCAGAGGCGTATTTGGAATGTATGACACGCCGGCAAAAGGTGCTAGGTTTGTCTGCGCCATGAACGGTGCAGCGCCCGTCTTGGTAGGACCTTGGAAGTGTCCATCGTCCGTGACAAAGTAGTCTGGAACAGATGACTTTGTTGGTATTGCTGTGCGTTTGTTAGTTGCTGCTTCAATCTGCTGGCCTAACCAGTAAGATTAGGGAGTACCGACACTTCACATCCTGTTCGCCTTGAAGAGGTACTTGAGCCTCAGATCGACCTGTTCATCATTAGTGACCGTAAAATTAAGCCACAGCAACAGTAGGTGGCTAGTGGATGAGGCGTACGCACCGAGATTGGCCGGGCTAAACGAGTTGAGGAGCTGCAGCGAGAGCTCGAGGATGCCGTGCATGGTGGGGTAGCTGCGAGCTCTTACTCAGCAACGTGCAAAGTCCAGGTCTAATGAGGTAGGTGCGATGGACGTTCTGCAAACAAATCACCGCTTCACTACACGTCGCTGTCGCTACACTGGAGTTTTCGCGTCCAGATTGTTAAGAGACAGCTTGAGCTTGGGCCAGGAGTTGGAGTTGGCAGTGACGCAATGCCGAGGGCTGTCCAACACGGTATCCTGGACCATATCGCCCACATGGGTGTTTCGCATTCCGCTCACGCTCGAGAGTTGAGAGATGTGTGCTGCGGACGAACTGTTCTTCGTGAACCATGGTCATGTTTTGACTCATCACGCATAGGATACAAAGGATACAAAAAGATGAATGCACGCGCCGTCGTGTACCACAGCATAGCTGCGAACAGCTGGGACGCATGGCAACTGATTTTTCCTGACTTTAAATCGCATTTACATGGTTGATGTCCTTCAGGGCTTGATATGAGGCGGGAAGGCTAGATGAGGGTGAGGCTAAATGCCTCGACACCGGATTGTCTCCACGAACGCTTATCTGGAGATTGCGGTCAACTACATTCACCCAACTGCAGATCGATCGCCGATTTCTCAGACCAATGTTCTCCGAAGATCGTTGATAAATGACGATCAATAAGAGAATCTAAAGAGTTTGTCGGGACCTCGCGTCCGCGCTTTAGTTGCCTCATTAAGTTCTGATATGGTCTTGACTCCTCGGCCACGGAGATGGGCAACGATGATCTTCAGAAAACTATGTTTGTGGCCGCAGGGGATCCGGGGAATCCCCAACTGTCTGGTCTGGAACTGCCACATCCGAATCAAGTGGGGAAAGACTGCTAATCGATATGGCAGCGCTTCATACACATATCTGGTATCGGTGTGTTCAATGATCTACCTACACCTCGTGTGATGACTGTCTCTTCGAATGACGGTCTCCTCTTCTATCCAGTGAAGGGAAATTGGCGTTTCCAAAGTAGATATATATAGACCTCGCACACCGGAGTTGAAGGCAGTTTTCGTCCAGTGCACAGAGGCATATGGATACTGTTTCTTCCAGAGGCCAGGTCTAATAGGTATATATCGTATGTTATAGGGACGCGTGGTTGTCGGAATCCACCATCGGCGAATTTATCGGTGTCTCGCGTCCAGCTCTTCATGCCCCGTGATGCATACCAGGCGTCCTTTGCGAGTTACATCACCACATCCCAGCGGCGTCACTCTGCAACACAAATCGCCGCACTGTCTCCGAATGCAGCCCTACCGGACATATAAACCGCAGCTCCACAATTGCTCGCACGCCGGCGCAACAGCGGCATGTTGTGACTTGGTTCGGCAGCGATTGATTACTGGGTTCGGCAGCCTTCCATGATCGAAGTGTCGTGATTGATGTCGCCTTGTTCTGAAATATCAAGTGAGGTGTCGGACCGATACAAGTGTATTGGTTGCGTGTACCAGGTGGACCCTGGACAGCAAGAGCATGACTCAGGTACCATCTGCTGGAGAACCACCGAAGAACGAAAAGTGGACACCCTACAGCGAATTGCCGGACCAGCGATGATGCAGAGACAACGGGAAGAGTGCTAGCAGCATGCAAACCGATTGATTGAGTGAAATAAGCGAGCTGTGGTGACGGTTTTGTTGAGTTGGAGATGTCGGAGATGTTGGAGACGTTGGAGTAGAAAGTTTTGCAGAAGGAAGTCAAAGCAAAGCAAAGCAAACGGTATCCCAGTGGAAGGACAGTGTGATGCAGTCACACTCCCATGCGAGTCGCGCAGAAATGTTAATTGTCATGATGTCTTGCAGGCGCGTCGGCCTGTCGCTCTCACGTTACAGAGCATGTGTGTCGCCTTGAAACCCCGTGCGGATCGTCGCCGACTGAAAACAGCAGTGGCACGCTGGCAAGGTATGTAGACGCGTGGTGAAGCATGCTGCGCAAGGCCGGACCGAATAAAGCAAAGATAGTAGTTGCAAGGCCGGCATCAGCCGGTCCTACTCGAATACCCGCGGGAAAATGACACTCGTTCCTCAGTCTTGCCCCAAGCAGCCGTGTTCCCGAAGGATCGTCGCGAGGCAGAACAGCGGTGACCTTTGGATGCTTCAGAAAGCTCACCCAGCGCAAGTCGCAACCTAGCGAGATGCGGATCGTACCGGCGAGGTGGAGCTATGCGCGCTGAAACAACTTATTGATAATGGGGAAGCGGTAGGCCACTCAGACGAATATGTTTTCTCACGTTGGAACGTTCAACGTCATGATCCTGGAGATCGCCGTTGTCCAATGCAGGAGAAGTACGGATTGGACAAAGTGCGACAGAGACGCGGCGGAGGCGGGAAATGTTCCATGCACTTATGACAGAATCACGGCTGTCATATTGCACGAAAAGAAGCTCTTGGCCCGGCGCGCAAAGGTCGAATAGAAGCACCGTGAGCGGTTGCTCAGCGGCCAGGGTGACGTGCTGATCAAACGAGAATTTCGTCATTGGTCATGGCAAAGTGCGGAGTCAACGCACACGAGATCTAAGGGTCTCTGGCGCTCGCGAGGGAGTGTGAGGGGCTGGAGACGAGGCGCGAAAAGGGCTTTTGTGTGTGCCGGGCGCTGGCTGTGTGCGTGCTGGTGGTGCCAACGGGCGAGGATTGGTGGCAACGGCAATCTACAAAATACCATGCAAGCCAAAATGGCAGGCCAACGCCGCCGCCGCAGGGTCCCCTTAGCCGATCTTATATATTCCTGGTGCGCAAGCTCGACGAAACGGATGGCTCACAAAGAGGGATCAGCAACCACGCCCAACACGAGCGGCTGGTGATGTGCGCATGGACAGCATGACCCGCAGTCAGTCGGTCTGTAACGCGTCGCTGTGCGCTGTGGGTACAATACCTAGGTAGTCTGGGCGGAGACAGCGTGGTGGTGATGCACTGCTGTCTGGGTGCACGCAGCG